GCCCAGCCGTGCCAGCAGCAAGGCAAGGTCGGATGATTTGTCCGTGTGACCTGTCTCCAGGAGGGATGAGGAGAAGGAGCAGTCTCAGCGCTTAGTAAAACTTCTGCAAAGTGGACTCCAGACTCTTGCCACTAACCTCTCTGTTTTAACACCTTCTTGTTCCTTTTCAGTGAACATCATTGTTCTGTTGCAGACAGCACCTCTCACAGCTTAAGGCAGGGGCAGCCACTAGGAAACACGCACTGAAGAGAGGCACCAATCTCAAGACGTGAAGCTCTCAGCCCTGTTTTCATCATGGGACCCACAGGGATTGGAGACTCACCATCCTTAGCCTAGCAGAGCACAGGCCAGAAGACTCCTGAGGCTGCCCAGCAGGTATCCACTGCGACACTGTACTCGACAGACTGACTGGACCTCAACCCGCTTGCATCTTCTTTGGTGTCTATTCAACATTTGCTACATCAGCTTGGCAATTATACTGAGCTGAAGCTTCTCTCACCTGCAGGGAGCAGAAACACACTGGTAGGCTTTCTGACGGAAAGATTTTCTCATCTGCTTTGTTCTCTCTTTCTAACCCTCCCTTTCTCTACCTGAGCCCAGATATTTTATACCAGTTTACCTATACAATAAATCCTACTTGAATTTTTTGACACTGTGTATATAACTCTTCCCCATAGATAAGGACGTCTGTGGTCCCCCACGCAAAGCTGCCTCGTGTCGAATGTTGGAATCCCTTCCTCATTCCTAAGTCAGTGCAGCAGACGGGCCCTGGGGCCCAGGGATGTCACTTAGATGACCAGTTGATGAAGACTAGGGAATTTTCCCAAGATACTTATGTCATCAATTCTAAGCAAGACATCCATTAACAGATATAGAGACTCTACTGTGAGAACAAATATCCTACTAGTAAAAAAGGAGGAATTACTGTGTGGAATCAAAGTGATTTTTCCCCTTTTTAAACTCATCTTTCAAGCAACATGAATGCTGCTGAAAGGGTGCTGCCAGCTGCCAACTTGAGAGAAAAAACATGCTCTGTTTATCTGCAGAAGAGGTACGGCCTGTGTCTTTTCTAACCAACCTACCAAAACACTTCAGCATCTTTTGCAAGGAGCAAGAGTCCTCTCCAGGTCCCACACATCATTCAGCTCTTGGCTGCTCTCTCAAGCCTGCCAGCCAGTGCAAGCCGAGATATCTGTCCTCACAGCAAGTCCCTGTTCTGCCATCAGGTCATCTTTATCTCCACTCCATCCCTAGCGCACATGGCATTAAGAAGCCACTCATGGACCAGCTCTTTCCACCACTGTAGCCTCTCAGAGCAGCCATTGGGGCCCAACACTGCACAGTGAGTCTGGTGGGTGAGGTCTGTAGGCAGCCCTCGCTCCAGATACATTTTCTCACTGCAGAGCTGACATCCCTCTTAAAGAGAATTGCTAAAGCTCCCTGTTGTTTCCCCTACTCCGCTCTGCCAGACGCGGGCCACAGCTTCCGAACGTTGGACTGCGTGAGCGAATGGCCTGGGACCAGCTTATGAGGGGACTGAGCCATTCCCTCTCTTAGGGGCCGCTGAGAGGGATTGTGAATCCTTGCTCCTGATACATAGTTAGCTTTGGTACAGTTTCCTGTACATATAACACATACTCACACACAGAGGGGAGGAAACCATTTTTTTGTTTGTAAGGTGTTTTATATATGTGTATTTTTTAATCCTGAAAAGACCTGCGTGCTCTCCTTAACATGAGATTTCAGTCAATTGTGCCTAGGTTTCTCCTAATAAAGTTCTAACTCCCATCTCTCCTTGTTGATGTTTCTCCTCTCACGTGGCTGAGAATGAGCTGCTAACATCGATCAGGCTGCCCGCCAGCCTCTGCTGCTCAGGGATCACAAAAATTCCCATCGCCCAGAGTGGCAGGGATGAGGGGAGGGCTTGGCCAGGGGGATAAATAATAAACATTGGGAAATGATTGATTGAATGGCTAACAGAAACCCCCTCCAGCTCCCCCGCCTGCCTCTGCATTACCAAGGAAGACTGGGAAGAGCTGGCCAGAAAGCAGAGCTTCCATCCTCTTGTGGTGGAAACGCTCCCTCCTTGCATCCCCTAGAACACCTCTGCACCCAGAGAGGCCAC